TTTTTCACAAGGGTTTTCGGATCAAAAATTAATAAATTTTTTTTATTTTTCTTTCATATATTCTTCTTCTTTAATTAATTTAAATTTGTTTGGTATGCATCAATCATTTTAAAATCACATCTATACTATTTATACCCAAGTTGGCAACCCTGCGGCTCTCACGTCTTTAATTGGCATTTAACTTGCACACTCTTACTTGCCTGTGCCGTTAGGCGCAAACGGCTCAACTCAATTTGTGCATTGCCCCAGAAGAATTAAAACGCTGCGCTCCAGCAATCCACAACCCCAGCAAAAAAAAAACGCCCTTTAGGGCAAAAGAAAGAAAAAATTGGGCACAGCAAAGCGCAAGAAAAATTCAATGCACGTATTGCGCCATCAGCAGCATCGCCGCCGCCGCCGCCGCCGTCACTCAGCTCCACCCAGCTTCACCATTGAACGCCAAACCCCAGAGGCTTACGTTAATTCAAGGCAACTCGCACGAAGAGGGAGCGGAGGCCAGCGAATGCCAGTCGACGCGCGTTGAAAATGCCAAAGCGACGAAGAAAAGCAGCCTACCTTTCCTGTGGTGCATTCCTGTGTGGGCGCGCTTTGCACCATCTTTGTATGTGTATACGCATCAGAGGACAATTTCCGACATGAGTAATTATTGTCACCAGCCAGCCGGGTGGGTGGAGTATGTATGTTTGTATGTATGTACGGCTGAGAGGTGCGTTGCGCGCTTATTGGCTTTCACAATTGTTGTTACAAGAAATTATGCATATGCTAGAGATACATACATACATACATGCTGAGGGGGGTGGTGATGAATGGCTGTCTGTACTCGTATGTGTGTGTCGCGTGTGAAGAAAATATGGCATATAGAATGGCTTAGTGAACAGCGCGTAATTATGACAACAAAGCATTGTTTCAAAACATAATTGCCAAATTGAATTAGTGTATAGAATATATATTTTTTGTCTCTCCTTCTTTTTCATCAAATGCAGCTCTGCACTTCAAAGCAAAGCAATGTTGTGTGGTAAATGAAAATGAAAATGAAAAGAAAAAAATGACGCCGGCGTATGCTCACAAAATTGTGCTTTAAAAATTTAACAACGCTTTTTTGTGTGCTCACTTACAATACCGTTACCTTTAGTAGCTATTTTAATTACCTCGGCTGCGTGCTTCGTGCCAAGTTTGTATGCGCAACTCAACCGAGGAAGCCAATGAGGAGGCCATTAGCTGGCGCTTGAAATGTGGTTTTCTTGTTTTCTATTTTTCTTTCAAAATTCGGCTTCACTCCTCCATCTGCCTTCTTGTTGTAGCCTATTTTAAGGCGCCACTCAAGTGCTGCTTGTAGACGTTTAACCATAGTAAGAAAGTATTGGTAGGTGGTCGTGGATCAGCAAATGTTGTAAGGGGCTTCTTTTTCTTCTGCTTCTACTGCTGCTTTGAAGCGAGGCAGTAAAGAAGAAAATCGCTGTACTATTTTGCGGCTTTCAGATTTTTATTTTTGCCAGTAGCCAACGAACTGTGTTTAATGTTAACAATTTCCGAGTTTCTATTTTGGTTTGGGAGGAGCAAACAAACTTGTCGTGCTTTGTTTTTGGCGCTTAAATGAAATAAATTTAATTGCAAGTGATTATGTAATAGAAGTGTAATACGTAATTTAATAAACACCCCTACTAGCAGTGGTTAGCAATGACTTACTTTTTTTTAGTTTCTTATACTATATTTTGAGGAAAACATTAAAAGCTTAATTTGATAATAAAAATTATCTATCACAATAACTTTTGCAAAAAGACTAATAAAAATATCTCTTTTTTCTTTACTTTCAGGTACGATAATTATAATGATGTGATGAATTCATCCTTGTACACACTTAATGGTGATTAAGCGTAAGTCTTTATTCATCAGTTTTTTTCCATTTAAATTTTCGTGTTTTATCACTGATTGAACTTGGTCCAATAATGGTGGCCAAAACAGTGGAAAAAAACACAATTTGGGACGATCCAATAAAATGTTTCGAACATAGATACCAAAAAGATGCTAAACCTAATAATTTTTGTAATATGGCGCTTCAAAAATATAACTCAAAATCGGTTTGACAGTACTGTTCCTATCCTCCGATACACATTTTGATATGCTTTGGAAGTGATCAATACAATATGTACGTAGAGAGATGCCAAGTCACCGTTTGGCTGTCCGAAATGTGCTGAACAAATCCATAGAGTCTATTCTAGAAGCGACTGATACAAGGACGGGTAATGCAATGGTTTGGAGGTTTTTGTCTAGGCCACCAAAGGCATAAGCCATATATAGGAGCAGTCAGATATCCAGAAAACAACCCTGAAAACCAGATGGACGATAGATTGAAAGCGACGTTGTTGTTAAACTCGAGAAACCCAAGTACAGTAGATCCATTATAGAAAACGTCAACACGACTGACCTAGAAGCACTTAAAAACACTAGAGCGAACCGAGTTCGGTGGAAATGCTTCTAAGCGAAAATCAGTAAAAGTGATGAAAATCGCACGAAATTTTTTGTATTCCTCGCAAAGTAGCCAGCCCAGTAATACTTTATGCATATGCTCTATACAGTATAGCAATTACACCTTCTTTTGTATATAACTCTGTTTAAAAAATGGTTGGGTAAGCTATCCTTAGTATACACTTTTTGAAGTTCGGCCCAGTTATGTAATCTCAAGCTATCTAATTTTTAACTTTGATCTTTCTATAAACCAAATATTTGGTGGATGTACTTTCTTCGCAACCCAGCCTAGAATACGCCATCTAAACACACAATGAAGGTCGATGTAATTATTTATGTTGCTCATCAAAATTTCATACTTATCCTGCACATACCTAGCATGGATAAGATACATTCTTAAGCTTACACCCTGATAGTGAATCTAATATGGCCTGATATGTTGCTCCGTCCGAAGCCGAGAATTGTCAATACATCTACAAAGACGTACGTTTTTAGACCACAAAACCTCTTTGAGTTTTGGTGTGAGTCTGTGAACGCCAGCCTCTGTTGGTGTCAAATTTGTTCCTAGTAAAATTTTGGGCAAATGCCCAATCGTGTGACACTGCCTTTAGAATGGTGGCGGAAAGAAGATTACGCCCAATTAGCAACTAAGTGCCATTTTAGTACCATATACCTCGACTGAATATGTTAGAACCAACCGGCGTGGTTGATAAAGTTGAGTATCTTTTAGAGACTTATATCGAATAGTTTTCCTTGTAGGCGATGCCCAGCCTTATCGCGTGGCTGCCAATCGACCAGTGCCCAGTGAAACTCGCTACAAGCCTTCCAAAGTCAGATTGGGTCTTCTCTTTGGGTTGTACACGGCCACATGAGTTTTGATATACGGCAGCCTGCCGCCGAAGGTTGTGTAAAAATATGTCTATATAAGGTTCTAATTGGGGGTGAGATCTGATCCTCGATCGAGACAAATGTGGAACCCTCTGTGGCTGCCTAGTCCCCGCAACTTCGTTTCCGGAAATGTTGCGATGACCAGGGACGTAAACTAAATCTAGATCGAGCTGACTGGAAATAACTTATGCTGTAAAAGATGCCATGGCCTTAATAGCCGCCTCGATATTTGACAAAATTGCTACGCGCTCGCTGTGACGTAAACCACTACGTCCTAAGATACGGCAGCCTTACTTCTGCCTGTAAAACACTTGCGAAATCGGGCAGATGAATTGATCCTCCTAATCCCAGGGATTCAGAGTAAACGCCCGCTCCAATTACGCGTTCCACTTTGGAGCCATCGGTGTCCAGATGATGCATGCAGGCAGAGGTATCAAGTTCGCCGTCCCAGTCCCGTACTGCTATGTCCTTGCGGTTTGTATTATGTGAAGGTCTATAGGAAATAGGTGTGTAATAACATTGAGGTCGTCTGTGGGGCAAGTTCTCGTTGCCCCCGTGGTGATGTTACTCACCACAGATGGAAATAACTAAAATCACTACATGGCCAGCGTAGGCCACTACTTTTACTCGCCCTTAGATGAGCTTGAGTAGTACTGAGTTGATGGTGTTAAGCCATAAAATGGGAGAGATCACTTCCAAAGTTCAGCTAAAATCGTTCCGCTGCGAAGCATCGCCTTTAGCTATGCGTTTATAGACTCCTCGATGTTAAGCTCGTCAAGGTATTTTTGGATAGCTTCTAGCCAAACATTGTTAAAGGCTCCTTCTATGTCGAGGAGACTGCCAGAGTATACTTTTTAAATTCAAGTGACCGCTGGACTGTTCCAACGACTTCATGAAGCGCCGTCTCGGTGGATATGCATGCTGTGCCTCAGACATACAATCGCCGGGGAAGAAACCCCGAACCTGCTCGTCTAAGATCCTCTCGAAAGTTTTGAACAAAGAAAGTTAAGCTTATTGGGCGATAATCTTTTGGATGAAATCCACTTTCCCTCGCCTCCATGACAAAGGGACGAATACTACATTTTCGTTCAACCTTTAAAATTTAAAATGAAAATGAAAATTTTCCATTAGGAAGGAGAGCGCAACGTTAGCAACATAATTGCATCTCAGAAAAAAGAAAAGAAAAAAAATATCGGGGAAACTAATCAAAAACTCTGCGCGAATCGTGTTGTCAGTTTGTTCGCAAATAGCGTCAACATCAACACCAACAAACAAACAAACAAAAATAAAACAGTAAACGGCAACGAACAGCAGGCGGCAAATACCAAAGGCTATACAACAAACAGGCGCAAGCGTCTACAACAACGTAAATTACAACTACACGCAGTAGCAGACAGTTATGATAGTCATATATTGCCTACAACAGCAGCAGCAGCAGCAGCGGCCTGCTTGCCCTCCACCAACTCTGAGACGGCCATCCTTTTAGTTGCCTCGCCAGCGTCAACTTAACAACGTTGCCAATTCCATTTCCGCTTCCGTTGGTGATGTTTACTTTTTTTTTTAGATTTATTTTTATCTACATGCAACCCTATCACCTGCCGCATTTCGTTGTGTACGGGCACATACATTTCTGTGTGTATCTGTGTGGGTGTACTGTTTGTGCGCGCGCTCTGTTTGCGCTGTTTCAGTTTTGATGAATTGATAGACGCCGCGCGACAGCCAAATGGAAAATAACCAACACAACGAATGGTTACGAGTATGTACGTGTGGTTGTATGTGTGCACGTTGTTGGCTAAAAGGAAGCACAAACCCGGCTAGGAGTTGGGTTGTTGTGTGCAAATGTATGGCCGAGTGCTTCTGGTGCGCCAGCCTATGCGCCTCTGTTTCGTTTGTTTCACGTTGTTTGCTTACCAAAAATTTAAAGTAGGTATCATTTTTGCATTTAGCAAACATTCATTTGACGACACGACACTGATGACGAAGTCGGCTCATCCGCGGACGTCCGCACGCGCTAATGCTTTAATCCTTTCAACCTCCACCCAGTGCAAATTTGCCCTGCCTTCATTCGTTCGCCGGCGCTTAATAAAACTGAGCGTGTTGTGCTTACGCGTATGCGGGCGTATTCGTTTTGGTGTTTGAGTATTTATTTCTTATAGGGGGATGGGGGTGTAGCGCTCTTCGACTGCTAGTCATTGGTTTGAGCGCTTGTGTAGGGAATTAAATCGATGAAGTATTAACGACTTAATTGCATGTTTTTTGAACATTTCGCAAGCTGGCCGAGTGCTGCAATACTACATATTGTTTTTATGCTTTTGATTATTGCGTTGTTGTTGCTGTACTTCTAATTTCATTGGTTTGCTATCAAATGCAGGTGGTTTGCCGAATTAATAAAGCGTTGTTTGGATGGGAAAGTAGTCTAGAAGTCAAATGTTTTTATTAACTTTTTTTTACCAATTTTTTAATACTAGTCTTCGCCCAGCGGTTGAAATTCTAGTGGTTAATGAGAGTTGAGGTGAACTGAGAGAAGTCGATGTGAGGTCTCTTGAGGTGAGTTCAAGAGAGCACTGGTGAGTTGAGGTGAAATGCGTTCAACAACATAACTCAACATAGCGTGTCATAACATAACATAATATTAAAGAACATAACTCAACCTAAAAAAACATAGCATAACATAACATAAGAAAACATTTCTCTCATGCTTCAGTTATATTCTTTTCTTTGTCTTCATCTCTATCACTTTTTTCGCTTTATATTAAACTACTTTGAAATTTGAGTAATTTTCTGCATATCAGCATTAAAATACCCTTCTGATGATATATAATTCTTTATACCTTAGAAGTATACTTTAGCTTTAAGAGGGGTGTAAAGAAAACATGTTTGCCTATTTATGTATAAGATGTCCTACTAGCCCCAGGCCCAAGGGGATTCTTCAACACTCAGAGCCCTTTCGGAAAGAAAAAAAGGATGGGTGTAGTATTTGTAACCATGAACCCGTGAACAAATTTTTACCATTCGATCGAAGTAGGATGGAAGGAAGAACTCTCCATCAATGACAAATTTAGGCTCCCAGATCAGTGCAATGCTTTTCAAGTAAAGGTAGCCGAAAAGGATGCAGGGGTTTACTGACTACAGTCGATGAGATTTTAGTCAACTCAGAAAACCCTTGGAATGCAAGGTGGCTACGTCTGTCCGACCACGGATTGAGCGACGGCGGTCAAGGGAGCTCTTAAAAGTGAATGAGTCACATCTATCTCTACTGGTGTGAGCTCTAACTGGCCATTTTCCGATTAAAATTCATGCCAAGAGGTTCAACATCAACTCAATGTCCTATTGCAGCAACCGCAAAAGAGTGGTAAAGAGTAGTAGCATCTGCTAGTCGGTTGCACAGCTTTCGCGAGCTTATTTTGAAGCCATAAGTTTTGAGAGACTTTCGGGTATAAAAATGAGCCGCTAACAGAACGCAGCGTTTTTCTACCATAAACCTTTAGGCTTTGCCGTTCAACCACTCCTTTGTCTTATC